ATAGGTCCTTGTTCAAACTTTTTCAAAAACAAAGTGGCCTCTTAATGAGGCTAATTAGATAATGACACTATTTGACTAAAGAAATATTTATTGATTTTATAACTAATTAATATATAGTATTTATTATTAATATGTCTCTAACTTTTCTCTAATAAATATTTTTAATTTTGATTAAATTTTAAATTATGGAAATAGTGGGAACAAATATATGATAAAAATAAACATAACAATTTTTAATCGAGATAATAACATGGAACGTTCTCTAAATCATATCATACATTTTATCCTTCAAGGTAATATATTTTTTGTTTGTGCTATCGTTGGAGAACTTTTTTATATAAACTCAATATTACCATCCTCTGCCCCAATTGAATGATTTTTTATACAATTGTCCAAATCGTTAAAGGCGATATGTCAAATTGTTTAAAAAATTATAAGTATGAAAAAAAATATTACCGATTTATGATGTTTATTTATTTATATTTACTAATTAATTTTTATTCAGATATTTTTATTATGATATATATCTTTATATTGCAATATCTTATTTAAATTTATATTATAACATATTTTATTTAATTGATTTTAACAAATTTAAGTTTAAAAAAAAATTCTTATATCTTAGATATTTTATTTAAGGAAGATACAAGTATCATATTTCTTATGTCTTATTAAAATAAAATCCCAAGCATCTAATATCTTATATATTATATATAAAATTTAAAAAAAATATCTATATTTGTATACGGGTAAAATTATTTGCAAATTATCCCTTAAGCTATTACTTATATTAATAAAATAATATTTTTAATATTATTGACTTACTCATATTTTCTGAAAAAAATACAATAAAACTATTAAACAGATCATATCAATATTTTTATATAAATAATTTTATAAGTTTCTATCATGAATTAATTAGAACAAAATATAGATAACATTTTTTAAATAATTTACTATTTAAACAATAATTTTTATGCTGGTAAAATTTTTAAAATTTTACATAAAGTGCAGTACTCTGAAAAAAAAGGATTTCAAAAAAAACTTTCATCAAAAAATGTTTTTCATATTGAAAATAAAAAATTTTTTTTTATATATGTTTTAAATAATTGCATGTTTTTTATATTATTTTTAATATATTTTCTAAAATAAATAAAAATTTAATATTTAATTTAAATATTATTATAACCTTCTAAATTTTAAAAAAGAGTTCGGGTCAGTAAAATCTTGAATGACAAATCTAAGGGTTCTGGCTAGCAGTCTTGGAAATATATCTCAATTTTATAAAAAAAAATATATTAATTTATATCTAATTAACTTCTAGAAATTATTATTATTTTTCTAAATCATCTGTATTTAATTTAAACTAAATATTTTCTAATACAATATAATTTTAAGATTTTTCTTAATTATATTATGAGTATATAGTTGATATCAATTTTTAATCGGGATAATAAGATGGAACATTTTAATCATATCATGACATTTATCCTTCAAGGCAATATAAAAATTAATTTGCGCTACCATTGGAGAACTTCGAAATTATTTATATAAGCTCTATCATGAAATTATAATAACTGTTCAATTATAGAAAATAATATGTAAAAAATAAATATATAAATTAATTCTACTTCATATTACTTTATTACATCTTATTTAATAACAATATATTTTCAAAGAGTTGACTCACTAAATCTTCCCGAAAAAAAATAAAACAAAATTATTATACAGACCATTTGTAAAAATAATTTTAAAAATTTCTATCATGAATTAATTAGAAAATATAGACCATATTTTTTTAAAAATATGTAAGATTATAAATATTTCGCGTGTAGAATTAGAACCTGTATATAAAACAAAATAAAATATGGTTGTTACCCTTAAATGACGGTTTTCGGATTTCTAATAAATATTTTTTAATAATTATTTTACTATTTAAACAAAGATTTTTAACAATACGTTATTAAAACATCAAATAAAAATAATTTGATAAAATATCATGTCACATTTCTTCATTTGAATATGAATATTTTTATCATTATGGACAAACATATTTGTCTACATGAATTCGATTAATATTAATATAGAGTCGATCAGTCAACAAATATTATAAAATGAATCTCTTCCCCCTTCTTATATAATTTTATAGCTAAAATGAATGCAAGGTTATTTATTAGGCAGCACTCTATTATCAAATATTAATAACATAGAATCCTTTAATATCTATATCAAATCTTATTAGAGAAAAAATATTTGGCAGATTATTATTCTGAATATGCTAAAGTATAACATGATGCATTACTAGATGATTGCAAACTATGGTATAAAAGTTAAATATTATTGATAATGTTTCAAAAAATGCTATAGATGCTTTGTATAATTTCAAACATATAATTAAAATTATATAAATGGCAACTCTGTAAAAGTGCTTCTACTAATTGAAAGACAGGTTATTCTCTAACATGCATAAAAACCTACCGAAGTAGTGTTGTTAAATATATGGATTTTAGTCAATTTTTTAAAACGGCTAACTCATTATTTTAGTCAGAAAAATATTACTTAAGCCTTAAGATTTTAATAATAGATATCCAAATCTTTGCTCCACATATGAGTAAAATCTTCAGACTTGCGTAATATTTTTCTGGTTAAAATATTGCCGTTTTTTAAAATCAGCTTAAATCAAGCCGTTTAACAACACTCTTAAAAATTAATACCTTCGAAAAAGATTGAATAGTTGGCATTAAGTCTCATAAAAAAAATTGAATTTTATCTTATAAATTTATAATGTATGCTTCATTATTATATATTTTCTCATTTTTTAAAACATCATTTTTTATTTCATGAATACTTTTAGTTTAAATGCATGAAATAATTTTTAAAAAATTTTTTGTGCTTTATTTAATATTTATTTTTTTTATTAAATATCAAATTTTAAATGCTTAAAAAAATTAATCTTTTCTTTACAAATTTCAGTAATATATAATTGAATTTGAGCTCTAGAAATTTTAAAACTTAAAATCAATTAGATTCTCAGAATACAATTTGAAATATAGACAAACCCAACAAAAAAACATTATATACTGAATTCAAAGCCCTAATTATAGGTCTTAGTAGGCATAAATTGCTTATAATATATGCAATATTTGATTGATTAAATTAGCTTATAGAATTGTATGAATTTTCCTTGCGATTGCCGACAAAGTGAATTTCCATAAAATTTTATATTTCCTATGATATTTATTTTCCTCGTCTATTATAGATATAATTATTTAAAAAAATTTATAACTGACCATAAATGTTTCTCTCCTTTAGAATATAAAATCTAATAAAAAATTATAAGAGTAAATCATATTTTAACTAATTGGTTAAATACGACGTATTTTTTACCCATAAATGTCGGTTTTCGGGTTTCTAATAAATATATTTTAATAATTATTTTACTATTTAAACAAAAATTTTTGACAATACGTTATTAAAACATTATATAGCATAGCAATAAAAAATAATTTGATAAAATATCGTTTCACACACTTCCTACGTTGAATATTTTTATCCTGCATTCCATAATTATGGACAAACATATTTGGCTACCCAAATTAGTAGTAAGACAAGCCCATCTGTTCAATATTGGTAGGTCAGTCGACGATTTATAAAATGAATCTCTTCCCCCCTTCTTATATAATTTTATAACTCAAATAAATGCAAGGTAATTAATTAGAAATCACTCAAATATGCAAATATTAATAACGTAGAATCCTTCAAAATCTGTATCAAATCTTGTTAGAGAAAAAATATTTAGCAGATTTTGCAAATTATGGTATAAAAGTTAATAATTATTGATAATGTTCCAAAAAATACTATAGATACTTTGTATAATTTCAAATATATATAATTATTATTTTCCATACATATTATAATTATAATGGCAACTCTGTCAAGTTTCTATTAATTGAAAGACAGGTTATTCTCTAACAAACGTACCGAAGTAATTTGTTGTTAAATATATGAATTTTAGTCAATTTTTTAAATGGCTAACTCATTATTTTAGTCAGAAAAATTTTGCCAAAGTCTTAAAATTTCGGCAATAGATATCCAAAGCCTCTTATCCACCTATGAGTAAAATCTTTAAGCCCACGTAATATTTTTCTGGTTAAAATATTGTTGCCCGTTTTCAAAAATCAGCTCAAATCAGGCCATTTAACAACACTATTAAGAACTATTTCGTTGACATTAAGTACTCATAAAATTATTAAAAAATTAGCATAATTTTAAAAAAGATTATTAAATTGAAACAATTTCTTTTTGAATAGTAAAATGGAAATATATAAAGAGATATCTTGTTTATCCTTGTTAAATCTTTTTAAATAATAATAATTCTTGGTATATTAAAAATTAAGAAAAATGTTAGTTTTGAAATATAGGGAGCATCTGAAATTTAATACTCGTAATAATCAAAATAAAAATAATTATTTTTATTTAAATAAATGATATAAAAGGACAATTAAAATTTATACAACATATATATTACATCTAACGTAAGGTTAAAAAATATACTATGTGACTGATTAGTATTCATCTATCTATAATATATATATAAAAGCCTTGTCACAAAAATAGCGTTAAGCTCTCATGTCACACTTTATAATTTGAAAAGTGCCTATGGCCCAATCGGGCAAGAACTCGCTTACAAATCTAGATGGATTTCCGGCAAATATTTTTTTCTCATAATCTGGTAAAATATTTTTTTTTCTTAATGACATAATCAAATAGAACGATTCAAAGTGTAGTGCAGCTACTTTAAAATTCATACTTAAATAGGTATTCTGATATTTTTAAATTTTTTATTTAAAAATCACCACATAATCATATTAAACATTCATTCATTAACCAAACCAAACTGAACTGAAAAATAATAAATATTCATACACAATTATACATAACTAGCTGATTTACAATTTTTATATATAATATATAGTTTTTAACCGCTCCTTTAATTTTCATTTTTTTAAAAGGTACACGAAACAAAATTTTCATTTTTTTAGAAGATACACGAAAAGGTTATAGGCTATGGTAAATTTTTTGATTTAATTATTATTTTATTATATTTTTAGATTCCTGCACAAGATACCTTTCAACAAAAAGATGCTGAAAATCAACAATCAAATTGCCGTACTGAAAATCAAGAGTAATATATTATTGTTTCAACATTAACAGCAAATTTTTATAATTTTTACATATAACAGTTCCTTAGATTTTTCATGAAGGCCAAAATAATATACAAAATAAGTTATTAAATAATTTGAATATTAATTTATAAACACTGGCAATAAAACAGACCTTCATGCCAGCTAAAATAAAAAACTAAAAAGCTATGCATAACTTAATTTTGTAAATTATCTTTTTTAACACCCTTAGAAGAAAAATCCAAAGACCTGTTGTGTGTTATAATAATGATTGTCTAAATTTGAAAGTTAATCTTTTAAAAAATCTAGATATTGTAAAGAAGGTAATGAAACAGACCTTCATGGCAGCATTAAAAAATAATACCTACTTTGAATTTTAAATTATAAACACCAAAAGCTATGCATAACTTTTGTAAATTATCATTTTTAGCACCCATAGAAGAAAATTCTAAGGAGCTATTGTATGTTATAATAATGATTGTCTAAATTTGAAAGTTAATCTTTTAAAAATCTAGATATTAAAAATATATACCTATTAAATAGTTAGAATTTTAACTTATATACGCCAAAATGTTTTGCATAATTTAATTTTGCAAATTATCATTATTAACCCCCATAGAAGAAAAATCCATGAAACTGTTGTATGTTATAATAATGATTGTCTAATAAAAATAAGTTATGCACAACTTTTTAGTGTATATAAGTTAAAATTCAAACTATTATATGTATTCTTATATTTTTAAATTTTAGCCATGAAGGTCCTGTTTTATTGCATACTTTACAATATCGAGATTTTTTAAAAGATTTACTTTCATATTTAGACATCTTTATTATAACATACAACAGTTCCTTGGATTTTTCTTCTATGGAGGCTAAAAATGATAATTTACAAAATTAAGTTATGCATAACTTTTAAGTGTATATAAGTTAAAATTTTACTATTAAATAGGTATTCATATATTTTTAAATTTAAGCTGCCAGGAAGGTATAGTAAATTTTTGTCTCAAATTTAGACATAACTGATCATTTTTATAACACATACAGCTCCTTGGATTTTCTTCTATAGGTGCTAAAAATGTTATAACAATTTAGTGTAACTATTTAATAGGTATATTTAAATTTTAATAACATATCAGCATAAGGAAAAAGCCAGACGGAGACAGGAACTTTGTCGAAGCAAGAAAAATTGCAAAGTCTTATTGCATCAATATCAAAGTGTAGTAGTACTGAAAATCAAGATCAAAGTAATATTGCTTCAACATCCTTAACAGTAAATTTTATTATCTCTTTATTTTTTATTATTTAAACTGGTTACAAGTCTGTCCTGATAAAAAAAACAAGACCTAAATTAATTTCTTATTTTCTGCACGACCATCATCATCAGTAAATTATATTTTATACTTTCAATTTACACGCTTTATTTCAGGTTATTTACGGCAAACTACAAGCAAGGAAATCACATCATCAAAATACTACATCGAGCAAAACCATCAAAGACATGACAACAACATTTTCAAATAAAAGGCAACATACGGTGATATAACCGAGGCTAATTCTTAAAAATATTAGATTCCTCTCAATTTTTAAAATATCTTAAATCTCCTTTTTTAGTAAAATTTTTGTTATAATAAATTTACTATATTATATTTTTTTAATATGGTTACAAATGCTTATTTGTTGGAATCCAATAATCGTCAAGTCTTGAGGTATATATAATTATTATATTTTCTTATAATTCATATCTTTGTCTCTTTTTTTCTATTTCTTCCATCTTTTTATAATTCTTTTTATCATCTCTTTGCTCCCCTAAAATCCATCTCCTACCTTTACACGGTGAGGAGTGAATGCTGACTAAAAGGAGCTCTTGTGGATAATGTTAGTATTTGGGAAGAAACATTTTTTCCATTTAATTACGTAATTATTGAATAATCATAAAATTTAAAAAATTTTCGTCCTTCAATAAAGGTAAAATTTTCATTCATCATTGAAAATAAGAAATTTCTGATTCCCCGTCATTCTTGATGGGTTATCAGCTAGTATGTAATAAAGGGTTTAAACAGAACATATGCTTTAATGCTCTAGTTTATGCAAATATTTACATTTAAAACTTTTAACATTTGTAATTTTTCAATATTTAAGCGAGAGTAAAGTGGCTTAACTAGCCATGAAGACGTTTTTATCGAAAGAAGGGTTTACTTGAACATATATAATATCAAAATTTATAAATTTAAAACAAGGTTTATAGCTTTAAGATTGATCCAGTTTGTTGAAAGTTATTAATTTGTTTTAATATTTTATTTTTAGAATATATATTTAATATGAAATAATTATATAAAATATGTGAATGAGAAATAAAATTATTATTTCCTGATTTAATAATTCAAAAGTAAAATTATGCATTTTTTACATTTCAATATATTATAGGACGCCATATTTTCCTCTTATGTTTCCAAAATGATATAAAATTATTTTATTGCCACTTACTGGCCACCAATTATTTGACTTTTTATTGTGAATAATTTTAAAGGTTTAAGAATAATATTTAATAGTCAGGATTTAAATGGATAATTTTTTCATCGAACGAAGTAATGTATAAAGCGATTCTCTTTTAGAAAGATAGTAAAAAATTTTTTAAATGGGAAATTGTTTTAGATAAAAATTTAAAGGGGTCTAGTTAATCTAGGCCAATGGCTTAAGTAACTTTTTCCCTTTTTTCTTCGTTAAAGACTATATTAGGTTTTAATAAGAATTATTTTACCTGTATTGGTGTGTTCATTTTCATTGACTAAAAACATGATAAAATATTCTACATAATTATTTTGAACAAATTCTTTTAAAGAAAATGATGCAATATATTTATTATCCTATTTTAATTAAAATTTTAATGTATAAAAAAAATTATTATTTATAATTAATATTTATGAATTATAATTATATAAAAACATTTCAATATATTTTTCATATAAATTTATTTTGTACCGCTATAACAACGATGAAGTAAGTTACCAGAGATCACAATTACTTTTTAAATATTTTTTATAAAATTTAATATTTTATTAATTGCTCTAAATGATAGGATATAAAATATAAGATTATAACATTATACCTCACAATTATTTAACTTAATAAACGTTACTTTCTTACCTTATATTAAAAATAATTAGTTCATATCTAAAATTTTAATAAAATTAGTGTGGTTAAAAGGCTCGATTTGAGCCGATTTTAAAAAAATAGCTAACTCAATATTAAAATATTACGCAATTCTGAAGATTTTAGTCATAGATGGCACAAAGTTTAAAAATTTAATTAGCAAATTTGAAATTTAGACAATATTTTCTTGGTTAAAATATTTGGTTAAAATATTGAGTGAGCCGTTTAACAATACTAGATCAAACCGTTATTACAAAAGATTTAATTTTTTTAATAAATAATGATTATAAAAAATTAGGCATTCAATAGAAGGATATTAGAAAATGAAGTGAATATGTAAGTTTCTAGGATATAAGCGTTCCCTTGTTCCTAGAGTCCTGGGGCTGCCTAAAGCCCTCCCGAAGTCAGGACATTGAAATTTTTTTTAACTAGCTTGGACTCGGGTATGGCTCGACCCAAGATTAAATATTATAAATTAGCGCAAATAAATATTATTTTAGGAAAATGTCAATCAGAATCGCATGTTATTCTTAATCTTAAACATTGTCATAATCATTTGAGTCATTTCCCAAATAAAAGATTTCCTTTTATTGGGGTTAAATATACTTTTAAAAGGTGGCAATATGTGAATGGATATTAGATTTTATATTATTCAAAATCAAATTCCAAAATTATTTTAATCGGGTTGGGCTCAGGCTAGGCTATATATAAATTTAGTATTTGGACTAGGATTAGATCGAGTAGTGAAATTACTTTTCAGGGTTTTATTTATTCTACCAATGTATTCAAATAGTGAAAATATATTAAATATACCATATTTAAATTATTATCTTTTATTATAGATAATAATGCAATTATAATCCTTTTTATATTGAAATTACCTCTGCAACGTTGACCTATATATATAATAAATAAATATTTTAATTTTGATATGTTTTAATGTAATATTGAAAAAATTATATGTATTAACTACAATCATTTCATGTCTTTGGAAGTATGGCAATTTCTTGGCCTGGAATTGTACCTGTACCCACAACATTCATAAGAAATTAGTAATGTCCAAGTAATTTTGCCGATGTAAAAAGTAAAATAACATATTTTTATATTCCTCATGACTCTCTTTTCATCCCATTTATCTTCCTGAGCACATTCGAAACGCAAGCACAAAGTTTAAAAAATAAATTGGCAACTATTAGCCTTCGAAACTTCAAACCAAGGCTCAAACTTCCTTTGCTCATCAATTCATAACTATATATTAAGGATTTAACAATTGTTTTTTCTATTATATATGTCGTTATCTTATTTTTTAATTGTTTACCAAAATTTTCATTATAATTAATATCTGAATCTTGATAAAATTATTCCTTTCCAAGTTTTTATCTATTTATAAGCATGACAAGAATATACTTCTTCAGGAATTTGTAAATTAATTCAAATCTATCAATTAAATTGGAAATAAGTGTTTCATTGAGAATATCTTTAATAATGGCATTAAATATATTATTTATCTAAAATATATTCTATATCTTTTAAACTCATGTATCCATGCCATTTATATTACTAGAAACTTAGCTGCCCTTTGTATCATAAGTATGGAAGGTTTTTTCTCAAATTCTTATTAAATCC